CTGCACGCCCCCAACTGGGGATAGAGCTTACAACCCAGGCATATGCCCTGACAGAGAATCGAGCCTTGATCTCCTGGATTCTAGGTCGATGCTCAACTGCTGAGCCATGCCTGGCCAGGGTGGCTTTTGTATTTTTAGATAAATTACAATACAGTGCTATAAGTTCAGTTATTAAAATATAAGCAAAGAGCTATCAAACAAGGACCATACAACTGCCTCTATCTGGGGGGAAGAGAAAGGGAATATATCATCTTAGGCATTCAATGAAGTGTTTTCCGAGGGACATATATATTAAGTTTTAATAGGTGGGCTTTTTGTTTCTTTGAGGTTTTGTTGTTTGTTGGTGGTGTGTGCATTTTTGCTTATTTTGAGTAATAGAGTGCTCATGCTTCATGAGAAGCAGCACTTTGTCCGCTTGCATAACTTAAATAATATTTAAAGGTTTGTGTTGCAGACTTAGACAGGATTTTTACTCAGTATTGAAGTAAGACATTTTATTGTTGGTCTGTACATCTAATGGAGAAAATGTTTAAGAATTACAGTTCTTCTCATTGACATCTTTCCCCAGGGCACCAGTTCTCTTGGCCTTAAATGCAAGACACAAAGGCATGCATCATGCTTGTGGTCTACAGATATAGGATTTCTGGGGGGAAGGGAGAGAACCTGGTATATTCAGATTCCCATCTGCTTCCAGTCAGGCCCACGGCAGGAACTCCCTTGTGATTCCACTTCTTTTGATTGTTCTGTAACAATACCCTACAGTAACTACATAGCGTTTACTGTGTGCCAGGTACCATTCAAGCATTTCATATATTTCATTCATGTCAGAATTAAACCTCTGACCCAATCTAGCTTAACTTTTCACTCTCCTAGAGTCACCTATAGGGTGTCATTGTCATTATAAAGATTGGTCTGACAGTTACAAACACTTGGCCTTCAGATACCAGCTCATCTGTTACCAGTATGGAATGTTCCTGTCTGTAGGCAGTCTGTTTGGCCCGGAGTGTTCTCTGTAGAGCATGGAGACCTTAGCCTGCCAGAGACCAGATTCCACTTACACTCCATCCTGAAAGATAGAAAACATTGAGATATTAATGATCGCCAGCTTCCCAGAGACATTTTCAGCCTCAGTTCTTTAATGATAATCTATTGAAGAAAACTATGGTTTTTATTATTGATGGAACTATATAATCACTGTAAAATTTAATAATGAGAATCCTGTACCTGTTTCAAATGATCCATTTTCATGGCCTGAAAGTCTCAGCTGTCCACTTGAAGAGATTTTTAAAGAAAAGCACCTTTAAATGTGTCTATAAAGCTATTCTCCTATGAGAAGTTAAACCTTTAACTCAAATTTATATTGAAAGTAGTAAGTATACTTGGCATATTTCATAGCTACAGTTTCCAAATGTTTTCTTATTTTAATATTTGGATATAATATAGTGCAATTAAATGTAATGATATACAATAAAAAATTCTTAGAACCTACATATATACACACACATATACACTTAACACAGACCATAGGGAAATTATAGCTATTCCAACTTATTATGATGATTTAGGGTTTCATATATACATATATATATATATATATATATATATATGTATGTATATATATGTATATATATGTATATATGTATGTATGTATGTATATATATGACAAATGTATTAAGATTTTCATGTCAAATATATTAAGTTTCACATTAAATATCAATTTAAATTAGTGGCATGTCTACTTTAAACCAATATATCAATGAGCAATTTAAATAATCCCTCTATATTAATAATTTATAACTGAGGCTTCTTAAAAATGGCCTTATTATCTTCTGATCCTGTTTCCTTTGATTAACATAATTACTAAAGCAGGAGCTCCCTCAGTTACACATTTTTAAACCACTGAAAGACACATTTTGGGATCCATCTTCTGTCATGCTTGCCAGCTCTCTGCTCTGTAGCTGTAATTGGATACTATTTATTAGACCAACAGGAGAATTAATCACAGCAATAGCTCCTTTGGAATATAACCCCCATTATTAGATTCACAGTATAATGGAATATAAAATAATATTCAATGATTATAGTACCTGGAACGAGGCAGTGGAATTATTGAAAAGTGAAAAAGAGTTACCAGTACGGAATGTTCCTGTCTATAGGCAAAGTCTCTTAACTCAGAATTAAATCTGAAGTTCTCTTTTAGAAATGATTTCATCATCTCCTCCAAAACTATTTCGGTACCTTCAGTAGCATCACTGTGCCCTGTCGTCCTCAGGCTCAGAGCATGGTGGCGTGTTGCTGCTGTGTTGTTCTCCCCTAGGGTTTTAGTGATCATGTTTAAATCCGCAGCCTGATGTCTTACATGAGACTAAGCTGCTTCCTAAGGGTAACTATCAAGAGCAATCACCTCAGCCTGGATATGGCCAAAATTTAAGGTCCCTTCTGCATTAGTCAAATATATTAGCAGGTGTAAAGCACTGCACAATAAAGAAAACTGGCTGTAGTCTCAAATTAGTACCGGGCTTCCCATCCAGCAGTCTGCTGGGCAGATACTTGAGAACAAAGCTCTTTGCCATTCAGGTTTGAATGGAAAGAAAATGAGAAACTAGGTAAAGCAAGCCAACCAAATTAATTCACTCTACTCCTCTCTGCCTTTTCAGTGGAATTCAGAGAAATTCTCTCTCAGAGAAAGTTGAGAAGCCCTCACGAAACAGTCACTTTAGTGTTTACAGAGTATACATTTATGTGCTTTGTGTTGAACATATAAAGACGATATTGATTGCTGTTCTCCATCAGATCCCCACAGGTTCTTCTAGGCGTCAGAAAATTTTCCGTAAATGCTGTTCGTTCTTTTTTCCATTGCTTTTCAGAGACAGTGGAAGGGAGGGAGGGGGAGAGAGAGAAACATCGATGTGAGAGAGAGACATCGATTGGTTGCCTCCTGCACACTCCCAACCAGGGCTGGGGATCGAGCCTGCCACCAACATTCATGCCCTTGGTCGGAATTGAACCCAGGACCCTTCAGTCCACAGGCCAACACTCTAACCACTGAACCAAACCAGGTAGGGCTTTTGTTCTTTATATGGATCCAAGGTACAGAGGCCAACTGTGTGCTTAACTCAGTCCCCTCCGCATGGCCCTGCCTCTGAAAGCAGCAGCAGCAACAGATGGAGGGATTCCCAGGTGGACTTCAGTCACTTCACAGTTCTGAACCACTAGAAAAGTTAGTAAAGAAGTACTTGGTACAGCAGCTTCTACCAGATTTTTTGTTCCTCCCTTTATGTAAATATGGTGATGCACACATGTCCTTAGAATACTGTAAATCTAGTATTCTACTAGAAATATATTAGTAATTTTAGTAGAAACTTTACCAACTAGATGCAACTTGATCATATGCAAATTAGGAGTATTCTAGAAGTTGTTTTCATCTACCGATTTTCTGTTTCCTTTCATCATTATTAAGTAAACTATATTAGATTTAGGCAAACGAAGGCCTTACTTTTTCTTTATCCTGTGCTTCAGTCTGTCCTTTCACTTGATAAGCATTTATTGAACGCATCCTATGGGAAGGGCTTTTAGGTGCTAGGATACAAAGATGACTCCTAACAAGGTCTCGTCGAGGAGCCTGTTTTCAGGTGGGAGCGGGAGCCTTGTAATAAATGAGATGAAGTGTTGTAATGACTCACAGGGCTCCAAACAGGTTATGGCAAGACAGACAACAATTGGACACAGGGAGGAAAGGATACAGAGGAGGTGATACTTGAATTTTGAAAGATGAGAAAGTTTGGAGATGAGCGGGTTGAGGAAACGAGAATTCCTGGAGAGGCAGCGATGTGCGTTCCCTAAATTGTCTTAACTGGTATCCCAGCAGCGGTCTTGCCCAGGATGGCCTCCAACTGTGGGTGAAAATGGAAAGGAAGGTTTTTAGAGTCTAAGAAAATCTACTTTTCTGTAGTAACTCAGAGCCTGGAAGGGATGCTGCTAGTGTATGAATGTGCGCGATGAGGTGTGTTTTGATGTACATCGTGATATGTAAACACCTGGTAGTGAATTACACAAGTCCTGTAGCCTCTTCTCTTTTGGGAGCTTCGAATGCCGTCATCTTCCTTCTGCCTTCACTCACCCAGCTATGCTTCTGACTTCTGGAACTCTCTTTCTTAGAGATCGTTTTCCTCCTTTCTGTGTTCAACTTCAGACGAGGAGGAAAGCATTGAGTGTCGACAACAGCGTGCACCTGGGAATTTGGACCAGGCTCATGATTCATGGATTCAGGAGACATTCCCGTATCTGACCCACTTACATCTCAATTCCTTATAATTCCTCCAGTTCCTTCTATTTGTAATAAATATTATTTGTCTGTTGTAGCCCAAGTACTTTGCTGAATTCTAGGTACTTTGGTGATATTAATGAATGAATTATACAAAGGTCCCCGACCAAATGGAACTTTTTAGTCATCAGCACAGCGGCTCTGAAAGATCGCTGCTTCTCTCCCACGTAGAGAAAGGATTCATTGAAAGTAGACTGGTGCATAAAGTAGTGATTTTCTTTCATGGGCTTTGTTGGGGCACTGGGGCAAGAAGACATTTTTTATTTCAGGAGAGAAAGACTTTTTCTGTGACTGGCGGTTCTGTAAGGATAGACCAGTATGATATGGCAAATTTTCTCTAGTTTATCTTGTTAAAAGATGAAAGTTTGAAGGTACTAAAAATAGAGTGGTTTCAGAGACAGATAAGTAGGTGAAGGGAAAATATTTTAAGACAAGTTGCTCGAAGCTTTCCTTTTCTTGTGCTTCGTGAAGAGAGAAGGCAGCCACCCGGTGACTGAGGCATCGGTTCTGGTGTGGGCTCTCTTCAAAGAGGCAGAGTAGGAACATTGTAAGAAAGCAGAAACAGCTGAATAGGAGAGAATTCTGTTATGGCATAAAAAAGAATTTGATTTATTAAAATTGCAACAGATTTGAAATAGAGTGTTTTCAGTTTAATTTTTTATTTGTTATTTTACAGATGCTGCACCTACTCCCTCAGAAAAAAACCCATCTCTGCAGACAAATGTGAGTTCAGGAAAGAAACCAGGCAGCACCATTACGAATACTATAACAGAAAACCCTTCACAAATGCCTCTAGAAGAGCAGTCAGCTGCAAAAAAATGTGAAATATTAACAACTTCACCAGCGTTTTGGTCATTGAGTAAAGAGGAGTCTAGTCATCCAAATTTAAGAGTATCCAAGTCAGATTCGACTTGCTGTAACCAGGCCTCTGTGGAGACCCTCTACGTCTCTCCCTCATTCAAAATGTTTGACCCAGTGAAGGAGACTGCAGTCGATAAGGACTCTCAGAAACCAGACAGGCCCAGCATCGTTCAGAGGGGTGATGAAAACCTCAGGACCTTAGCAACATGGGGTAAGTCTAAAAACCCACCATGAACAAACCCTCTGTTGAAGCATCTTCATTCCCTTCTCTCTGCCTCCCGTCCCCGTTTTGCTCCCTCCTTTCTCTCTCCACCCAGTGCTATTACGATTTGCCCCCCACAGAGGAACTTCTCTATGGGAAAGTGCCTTTTATTAAGGGCTAATAGGCAGTTAGCTCCTCCTTGTGGGTTACAAGTGCTCCATTGAAGCTCATGTTCTGAGCGATTTTGTTGGGGAACAAATTAGAAAGAACTCACATTAAATAAGAGTTTCCTTGTGGTTGTTTCCAAAAGTACCCAAGAATTTCTCACGCTCAGGAACAAGTAAACTTCTGTTCTTCCCGAAGGGCATGCAGGCCAGAGAATAATACAGAGCTGTGGCCTAGCAAGGACATTCTGTGGCACTCCTGCTGCTTCTCCATAGAGTAGCCGAATGGCCTGATGGCTAATACTCGCCACTTAAACTGTGGACCGCTCACCATGTTCCTGAAGATCCAGGAGCTTCCTGGCCCTGTGCAGTCTAGCTTCTGGCTCTTTCTGCAGCCTGATGTTCTTTCCATTTGTCAAATAAACCATGTCGCGTCACCACCTTTGGCCTCTTGTTCCCTCTGACTTCTAACCCACCCCTTCCCTTGTTCCCTCCTACTCATCCTTTAGAGGGCAGCTCAGACATCACTTCCACTTATTATTATATCCTCAGCACCAATCACAATGCCTTGCACTTCGGGGGCACTCAATATTTAATAAGCAAACTAAAAGCGTAGTGGAGAAGGAGTGGGAAATATATGTGGAAAAGTAGTAGAAGAAAACATTGGACGATTAAGCCAAAATAGATGAGGAGGAGCTATGTATGCCAGGTTAAATTTGGACTTTATTTTGGAGGCAGAGCAAGTCACTAAAGGTTTTAAGTCAGGTGAATGACTTTACCGACATGTTTTAGAAAAATTACTGTCAGGGAATGTGGAGGATTGATATGGAGGCAGTGAAACAAGGAGGCAGCACTTCAGAGGCTCTTGTAGGAAAGGAAACTGGGTGACAGATAGGAGACAAGAGAGGGTGAGATAGAGGGAGATAGTCCCAGATGGAGCTTAATGTGGAGGAGGTGGCCTAGAATCAGAACAGAAAGGGGGTCACCTCATCCTGAGGGCCTGTAAGGAAGGAGGAGGAAGGATGTAGCAATGTGAGGAAAGGGTTTTGTTGATTTTAATAATTAAGATGCATTAAGCCTTTGGGCGCCATATATTGCATGTCTTGGCCTCGAGATCTTACTGTCTGATGTCACCTGCCAAGACTGAGGAGTATGGAGTAATATAATGGCTGGGAAGAGACTGGAAAAAAATTAGCATAGCCACTCTAGAGAATGGAAGAGGGAACTGATAAAACACTGATGAGATGAAGGAGTGGTCATTTGCAGCAGTCCTAATTTACGGGGTCCTGTGCTTTTCTCCGGTAGTGCTGAGCAGCCTGGGAATAGGAATGAAAAAGGGAGAGACTTAAACTGGAATAGGATTAGGACAGGGATTGGCGAACTACAGTCCCTGGGCTGAATCTGGCCTACTGCCTGTTTTTATAAACAAAGGTCTATTGGAATACAACCACACTAATCGGTTTACATACTGTCTTTGGCTGCTTTTGTGCTACAACAGAGCTGGGCAGTTGCAGCATACACTGTATGTCCCACAAAGCCTAAAATATTTGCTATCTGGTCCTTTACAGAGAGGTTTGCTGACTCCAGATTAGGAATTAGCAGCAGGTAAGGCAGAAGACACAGCAGCAAAGGGACCGCAAGCAAGTGTTTAAAGTGATGAATAATGGGATTGTAGACTGGACAAGAAAGGAGGCAGAGCCAGGCAGGCACTGGTAGAGTGAGAGAAATAAAAGCATCGTGGGATCTGTTGTCTCAGGCCAAAGGGTGGATATATTTAAAGGAATGAGGAGGCTGGAAGTAATCCAGAAGGAAAGAATTGTTAGAAAACAAGATTTCAGACCGAGGCAGTTCTGAGTGATGACATGTTCTAGGGAGTGCTCAGAGGAATGGCTGGTGAGGATTCAAGAAATGATGAGATGAGGGTGGATGGCTAACCTCCATGGATGCTGGCATCACTCGGGATGATGGTTTGCATTTCAAAGTTTCACCTACCACTGGTCAACTGCAATTCAAAAATAGTCAATGGAAAATTCCAGAAATAACAATTTATTAAATAGTTCGTAAGTTTTAAATTGCATGCTGGTCTGAGTGGCATGGTGAAATCTCATGCCATCCCCCTCCATTCCACCCAGGACATTTACTCATGATCCCCTTGTCCAACTTGTCCATGATATATATGCTATCTGCCCATTAGTCACCAAGCAGCCATCCCAGTGATCAGGTGGACTGTGTGGTATCTCAGTGCTTGTGTTCATGTAACCCTTCTTGTACTTAATAATGGTCCCAAAGCATAAGAATAGTGATGCTGGCAATTCAGATATGCCAAAGAGAAGTCAATAAATGTGTCTCTTAAATGAAAAGGTGAAAATTCTCTGTTATAAGGAAAGAAGAGAAATCGTATGCAGAGGTTTCTAAGATCTATGGTAAGAACAAATCTCTCCGTGGATTGTGAAAAAGGAAAAAAATCTGTGCTAGTTTTTTTGTCACACCTCAAACTGCCAAAGTTACAGCCATAGCGAGCGATAACTGCTTAATTAGGATGGAAAAGGCATTAAATTTGTGGGTGGAAGACGTGAGCAGAAACCATATTCCAACCGATGGCAGTGTGTCGCATCAGAAAGCATTGAGCTCATATGGAAACTGCAGCAAGGGATCCCCTGAAAAAGGTGGCCACATTCACATAAATTTTATTATACTATGTTGCTATAATAGTTCCATTTTTTATTGTTAATTTTTCTACTGTGTCTAATTTATAAATTAAACTATCATAAGTATGTATGTATAGGAAAAACAGTACAATTGACCCTTGAACAACACGGGGGTTAGGGGCACCAACACCCACCTGAGCAGTTGAAAATCTGCATATAACTTTTAACTTCCCCAAAACTTAACTACTAATAGCCTACTGTTGACTAGAAGCTTTACTGAAAATATAAAGGGTCAATTAATACATATCTTGTATAGTATATGTATTATATATTATATTCTTACAATAAAGTAAGCTAGAGAAAAGAAAATGTTATTAAGAAGATCAAGAGTAAGAGAAAATATATTTACAGTATTTATTGAAAAAAAATCTGCATATAAGTGGATCTGCACAGTTCAAGGGTCAGCTGTAAATACAGGCCTTGGAACATATCCCCTGCAGATAAAGGGTTCTACTCTATCTACTGGTTTTAAGAACTATTTGTTTATATGCAGTGTCCAGGTCTGATGTTACAAACTCTTTGCAGATAATGAGCTGGGCAAATTAAAAAATACTTGCGCATTCATATTTTAGCAGATCTCAAGCATCAGGGAGGCTGTCTGTGGCAGCTGCCTAACACACCTTAATATTTTTACTGAATGAGAGGGATGGATGTGCTACAGCAACCTTTTGACCTTTTGGTACAAATAGTTCTGTTGTTAGAACAGCCCGTTCCTTCTGCTCCTCTGTTTAAATTTTGTTATTTGTCACTCAAACCATTCTTTTAGTCCATCAGATAGTTTATCATGTGTCCTAAAATGGAAAAAAGAGCTAGAAGATTCTTAGACGCCAGATCTGGTGGCAGGCCGCTTGCTTTATATCCACATGAGCCCCAGTTAGTGTGTTAGATTGTGCTGGACTTCCCTTTCTCATGTTTTAGGAGGAAAAAACTCTATGCTTTCCCATGTTGGGATAATGGTAAGCATTCTCTCTGGCTTTGTCCTTTGTTTCTGTTTCTCATTGTTTCCTTTTTTTTTACCCTGCGTTTTAGTAGCAGTTACTCTGTATTTTTCAGTTCATCTTTGCTAGGAGAAGAAACCAAACATCACACACACTCAGGACTCAGTGACCATGACCAAAAAGGCTCCAGAGCCAGAAAAATTAACAGTTTCCTTAAAAGAAACCAGGAAACTGATAGAAACAGTTTTGCAAACCATCCAACTAACCCTGAGCTGCTGGTCAGGCTGGCTCAGAAGCACCATGTTGAAGGGAGCCTTATCACACCGGGAAGTCACAGCCACCCTGCCCCCAGACAGCCCAGTAACTCCTCTAGCCGTACATTTCCATCACCCCAAAAGCCCTGTATTCATTAGCAGTCACTCTCCATTTCCCTTCTTCCTAACTCCTGCAACCACTAATCCACTTTCTATCTCTATGGATTTTCCTGTTCTGGACATTTTATATGATAATATCATATAATATGTGACCTTCGTGTCTGTCTCCTTTCGCTTTGTATAATGTTTTTAAGGTTCATCCATGTTATAGCACGTATCAATTCTTTGTCCCTTTTTAGGGCTGAATAATATTCCATTGTAGAGAAATACACATTTTATTTATCCATTCATCAGTTGATGGACATTTGAGTTGTTTCCCCTTTTGGCTATTATGAATAATACTGCTATGTATGTTTGTGTAAAATATTACATTTTTAACCACTGGACAAAATTAGAATAATTAAGTGTATAGCTAACTTGACAGCCATTACAAACCAGCTAGGAAGATTGAAAGAAATTAATTGGAGCCCGGCCGATGTCGCTTAGTGATTGAGCATTAGCCAGTGCACCAAGAGGTCCCTGATTCGATTCCTAGTCAGGGCACATGCCCATGTTGCAGGCTTGATACCTGGCAGGGGGCATGCAGGAGGCAGCCAATTGATGTTGATGTTTCTCTCTCATCGATGTTTCTCTCTTTCTCTCCCTCTACTTCCCTCTCTCTGTAAAATCAATAAAAACATATTTAAAAAATGAAGAAATAAATTGGAGAATGAAAAAGAAATCCCTGTGGTTTATAATGAACCATTTAAAGTATTTAATTGACCAAGGACCTACTGCTTACAGAAAAATTTACATTTATAGCTAAGTCCTAAAATATTTCTAGAA